CAGGCCCTTGTACTGCGAACAGTTTGCGGCCTCGGCGCCCTTCCGTACGTACAGCAGTACGGCGTTTAAGTCGGGGTCGTACGGTCCAGCGAAAAGCAGTGTGATGGTGGTGTTGGGCAACTTCATGTTGGGGTTGTTGTCCTGTTCGGTTGGTGGTAATTTGTTGGTGGTTGTTGATTGTTGGTAGTTGGTAATTGGGGAAGAGGGGAGAGGGGAGAGGGGAAGGGAATGCCGACTGTGGGAGCGTCAACAGGCAGTACGACATGGTAGCGTCGGTAGATAGATTGCGGCTACCGGCTACCGTCGTACAGTAATAATAATAGTATGGTTCAGGCTGCTGCTTGTAGCTGGATCTGGATAGATAGATACAGACATGCATATGTACGTACATGCGGGAGGAAGGGAGTAGGTAGGTAAACGCCGCACCTTGATCTGCTTGTGGTTCCAGGTGGTGATGGTGCCGTTGATGATTCCGGCCACGGTGCACAGCGTGAGGTTGAGTCCTTGGTCGCCCCGGTACATCACCGCCACGGGCCGGATGCTGACGGGAATCTGCAGACCACCGCCCACCAGGACCAACACCGGGATCACAATCGGGGTCATGATTGTAATCAGGTGGGGCCACCATCACCATTGTCACCATTATCACCATTATCACCACCTCTTCCTCCTCCTCCTCCTCCTCCTCCTCCTCCGCACACACCCCCAAGGAGTCCAGGAGGCCAGGAAGGTCGTTTCCTCCCTACCAGGGAATTCGCAAATCGCCGGGGACAGCAATGCACTATCCGCCCCCTCTCCCTCCCCCTCTCCCTCCCCCTCTCCCTCCCCACCCGCCCACCACCTAACCCCACCACCTATCTACCTGCGCCACGGGCGCCACCAGGGACAGGTTCTGCCACACGTCAAGAGGTAGAGGCCCCGGATGCACCACCAAGTGAGTGGCGGCTGAGCTGGCGGCGGCAGTAGCACTGCTGCTGCTGGAGGAGGAGGAGGAGGTGGTGGTGGCGGCGGCAAGGAGTGATGCGCGCAGCAGGGCCACGATATCCGTGGGGGAGCCCATTTCGTCCAGGATGCGGATTGGGCTGCTGGCCATGTCCTATTGGAGGGGTAAGTGGGGGAGGGGGACGGGGAGGGGGAGGGGGAGGGGGAGATCTTGGGGCTTTGCCGCAAAGACACGCAACAATGTACAGAGAGAGAGAGAGAGAGAGAGAGAGAGAGAGAGAGAGAGAGAAAAACCCTCACACCCCACACCCCCCCCACACACACACCCCAGACACAGCGGGGGGTTGTCTATCCGCATCGCCAGCACACACACCACAAAACCCCATTTTGAACTGCAACCGATTCAACACTTTATTGTTTATATTGTTCATGTTGTATATTGTTTATGTAGATTCCACACTTTATCTCTAACCAGCACTCATCTCGCTGACCGTTTTCCTTCTGACGCTTCTTTTCGATCCTCTTACCCTTCCACCCAAATCCCTCTCACCTGAACATCACCACGCAGTAGCCGTACATAGCCAAACGTATCTGCCGTACACGCGACCCGCAACACCGTCGGCAACCCGCCGTCCAGTCGCGCCTCCACCCGCTGTACGGCGCTTTGCAGCTCCGCCAGCTGGTACACGTCGTACGACTCTCGGTTGGCGGAGAAGGTGTACAGCGCCGCGCCGGCGTCGCCGTCAGCGAGGCCTGCTGCTTCACTGGACCAGGTAACCGTCAGTGTACGGAGGGTAACGGTCGCAACCGCCGCACGTGATACCGCCTGTACTTCCAGTGGCATGGGCGTCAGTTCGGAGCTGGCGGCCATCTGGCTGCCGTCGGTGTTTAATGTGCCTGGGATGAGGAACCTGTCCAAGTGAGATGTGAGCGGGGAGGGGTGAGAGTGTGAGGTAGGGGTAGGTGGGGTGGTAGGTGAGAGTGTGAGGTAGGGGGGTAGGTTGGGGTGGTAGGTGTGAAGTGTGAGGGTAGGTGGTAGGTGGTAGGTGTGAAGTGTGAGGTAGGGGGCTAGGTGGGGGGGAGGCCGCACACCACATGGATTCACTTACTCGACAAATGCGCGAAGTAGTGGTCCGGAGTAGCCGTACCCCGACAGGTTTCGGAACATGTACAAGTACTGCACCATGGGCATGGGCCACGTGTCGTTCTGGCCGTACAGAGACAACCCGAGTACGGAAGCGACATCGCCAGATGCGTTGCTGAAGATGGCGGCGTTCTGAGCCCTTGCCTGCGGTGATGGTGGGTATGTCGGTGGTGGTGGGTTTAGAGCTCCGTGACAACCCTCCGGGGCTGGAGACGGTGATTGTGGTGGTGATTGTGGTGGTGATTGTGGTGGTGATTGTGGTGGTGATTGTGGTGGTGATTGTGGTGGTGATGATGTGTGGTGATGATTGTGGTGGTGATTGTGGTGATGATTGTGGTGATGATTGTGGTGATGATTGTGGTGGTAATTGTGGTGATGATTGCTGGTGATGATTGTGGTGATGATTGTGGTGGT